CCCCCGGCATTAGGTCCTCATTTTTCCCCTCCCGCTAGTGTTTTTGTTTTTACTAAAAATAATTAACTTAGTTTGATTATCAGTGCTGGATCTGATTCATAAAAGATCTTTCGAATCACAAAAAGAACTGTATGGAATATAATTACACTTTTTTTATTTGAGATTCATAAAAGGTAGGGAAAATAGGCAAGGTCTCCTTATTGATACTATTCCATACACACACAAAAAGATCTTGTTCTTGTTGTGCATCATAATGATTATTCTTGGAATTTGTTAATTTTTCTCATAGGGAGAAGAAAATTGAAGGATTGAATTTTATTAGATGCTTAGCTGCCTTTCATTCTGAAACACTGAACACAAAGTTGCATGAAGCAAATTTTGCAGTAGTTCAAGAGGTAAAATATTTTTCAGCTTTATGTGAATAGCAACAGATAAGCACATTTATTTGGCTTTTTTAATTCTTTTACTAAATGATACAGGCATATGTGAAGCAAAAATAACTCCTTATCTTGCAACATTAAAAACAATGTCTTTAGGACAGATGATATGTTGTGGGGTTTTTTAAGTGATATATGTTAAAATGTGTGCTTTTATTAGTAAAGTTGTTTTCAAAGTCATTATCACTGATTTTTCTTCAGACCAGCAAAATGTACTCTTTGGACAATTGTTTTTTAGGTGAAAAATTTGCGCTCTGGAGTTTCTCGTGCTGCTGTGGTCTGTTTAAGTGATCTTTTCACTTACTTGAAAAAGAGCATGGATCAAGAGCTAGACACTACAGTAAAAGTCTTGTTGCATAAAGCGGGAGAATCAAATACATTTATAAGAGAAGATGTTGACAAAGCATTGAGGGCAATGGTTAATAATGTAACCCCTGCACGTGCAGTCATTTCTCTTATCAATGGAGGACAAAGGTAATATTCAAAATAACCTTGAGGTGTCCTTAAATTAAAAAGGCAGTTGTTTGTAATCTTGGGTGTAGAAAAAGAAAAAAAAATTGATTAGTGCATTTCAATCAACAATAATTGGCCGGTATTTCATTCTGTTGTACATAGAGTTGCTATGCATTGGAAATGACTTGGAGGCACCTAATAACAACAACAGTGATAAGTATCATATCAAGTGGGAGCATACAAAGAATCTTAATTTTTAACATCTTAGCAAGGAATAGCTAATACAGATAATTTGTCACGTTAGCCAGCAAGAATGATTGTTGAAGTATAGGAACAATTTAATCTCTGGAAAATAATTCATGCATGAACCTTTTTTAAATATCAGCTTTGTTTAATTGGACATATTTTCTTATAGCCATTTACACATAGCAGTAAGAAGATGCACAGCACAGCACTTAGCGGATGTAGTGGAATTTATGGAACCAGAACGTATTTTATCTGGAACAAAGGATATGGCTGATCGTATGTTACCAGCTGCTGCTAAATTTGCCCAGGACAGTTCACAAGAAACCAGGTAAATAGGTGATAATGATGTTTGCTAAGTCTATTTGTATAATGGCTTAAAAATAGAAAACAGGATAAAGAGAATGAATATTTTTCTAACTGGAAAAAAACAGTGTCCCTAGGGATTGGTGCTGGTGAGTGATCTTACTCATAAATTTGTAAGTGGTCTTGATGGGGTGACCACTGAATTCTCCAAATTTATTAATGAATACATACTTCTAGGTAGTGAAATACAAGTCACAAGAATAAACTGTATGGAAATGGTACAAGACTGTATCTAAATTTACAAGAATTCTAATGTGGGCAAGTGTAAGGTAATGCATTTTGGGTAAATGATATTATCTAAGCTATCAGGTAAATCACAGAAATAAGTACACATGAAAAATATAGGGAGCAAAATAGAAAACACTGTGATCACGAAGGGTCTAGGGGACCAGGTATCAAGCACCAAAGCGGGGGTAATCATATCATTGTGAATAAGTGGAGCGCGTGATGGGGACCCAGTGCCCATCTGTAGACAACTGGACATCCCTGCAGAGGGGTAGTGGGGAGGAGATGAGTCACTCAGGGTGCAATGTAGCATTGGTGAAACTCACAACCTTCTAGTTCCTAAATGCTTCCTCCCCCCCACTATCATGATCCCAATTCTACCTTACAAATCTGGCTAGACCAGAGGATGTACAGTGGTGCAGATGGGAACTGGAAACACAGGGAATCCAGGATAGATGAACCCCTCAGGACCAGTGGTGAGAGTGGTGATACCGGGAAGGAAGGTGGAAGGGGAGGTAGAAAGGGGAAACCGATGACAAGGATCTGCATGTAACCTCCTCCCTGGGGAATGAAAAACAAAAAGTGGGTGAAGGGAGATGCCGGGTAGTGCAAGATATGATAAAATAATAATTTATAAACTATCAAGGGTTCATGAGGGAGGGGAGAGCAGAGAGGGAGGTGGGGGGAAGGAAAATGGGAGCTGATACCAGGAGGCCAAGCGGAAAGCAAGAGTTTTGAGAATGATGAAGGCAACGAATGTATAAGTGTGCTTTACACAATTGATGTATCTGTGGATTGTGATAAGAGTTGTATGAGCCCCAATAAAATGGTTTTTAAAAAAAAGATAATAAAAACGTTTTTACTTTTTATTAAAAAAAAGTAGAGAACACAAAATGTTTGCCTGGAAAATATGATATCTGCACATAGTATACTACAATAGTTGTGATAGCAATGGAAATTTTAGACAGAGTAAAAACCCTGGCTTTGTTTATCTTTAAGCAAGTTGCTTAGCCCTGTTATTCTGTTTCTTTGTCTATGAAATTAGGGGGTTGAACTAGGCAACATAATGTGCCCCATACAAATCTAAAATTTTATGAGAATTACATATGAAGACATATTAAAAGTGAAGTGGGAGGATCTTGAATTTATGGCAATTAAAGTATTAAAAGCATCAAATGTTTAATATTTTATGACAAAGCCTATTTATTTAACTAAATCTATCTTGTGTAAGTCACCTAAAGCTAATACAGACAGTAAATATATTAGTTTTTTAACTGCTGTATAATAAATTACCACAAATATAATGGCTTTAGGCTACACAAATTTACAAGCTCAGAGAATTTAGGTCAGAGATTTAGCATGGCTCAACTGGATTTTCTATTTAGGGAGTCACAAGACTGCAATGTAGGAACTGTGCTGGTCTCATATCTAGAGGCTCTAGGAAGAATCCACTTCAGGCACATTCAAGTTGTGGGCTAACTTCATTTCTTTATGATTGTAAGACTGACATCCTCATCTCCGGCTAGCTGTCAGTGAAGGTTCTCTGTTAGCTCCTAAAAGCCATCTATATTCCTCATCAGTTTCCTTATTCAAGCCAGATTCAACTTCAGTGTGTTGAATCTCCCTTGAGCTTGGAATCTCTCCAGCTTTCTATTCTACCAGTGCAGAAAGCACTCTGAATGTAAGGGTTTATGTCATTGGATTAGTCCTACGTGCATAATCGATCTTAAAGTCATCAGTGCCATATAATGTAACAGCCATGGAACTGATATCTCATCATATTCATAGATTGCTGAGGTTAGGGCAAGTCATTTTTAGGGAAACAAATTCTTCGTGCTATGATCATTTTTTTTAATTTGCGAAGATTAAAAATATTGGTCAGTGCTACTGAATAGTATGTAGAAATTGTTAAATTAGCTTATGTTCTGTATATATTCATAGTAAATGCAATAAGCTATAAAAAGAAAAATTAAGGGTTCATGATAAACAAATTAGCAACAAGAACAAAATCATAATTTGTGTGCATTTTTACTTTATCTTCTTTTAACAGCATTGTCATTTGTAACCCATTGACTTCTTATTTGAAACTTTAAAATTGTAAAATGATTATTACCATATTTTCAAATTTTACTACATCTTATGTCTTATATTCCTAGGACTGACTTGTTAGTTTGTTTTAGTCTTTCCTATATCCATAGATATAGTGGACCCATGCTGAACATTTCAGACTGAACATTGGAATGGTCCTTGAAGCAATAATTGATTTATAACTTATCTTGTCATAGACCTTATTATGACTATGGGGAGAAGAGAGTAATAAATATTCTCTGATAACACCTTTCCTTTTTTAAAAAAATATATTATATTTGAAGGGGTCTGTTGTGATACAGAGAGCCTTGGTGGTGTAGCAGGTTAAACATTGGACTGTTGACAATAAGGTGAGCAGTTTAACCCACCATTCACTCTGTGGAAGAAATCTTCCACACCCTTAAAAATTTGCAATCTCGGAGCCCACAGGAGTGTATTCTGTAGGGTCACTGTCAGATCTGCTGCAGGTCACAGTGACTCAGTGGCCGTGGGGTTTTTTGTTTTTGTTTGATATAGATAAGCCTGAAATCACCTTATTACTACTCCCTCCAAAAATAAGGCTTTGCTTTCTCTGATTCTTCTAGCCTAATATATCCCAATATATCCTAATATACAGGCAAATGTATCAACATAACTTATTTTAGAGCCAGATGTTGAAGACAAGACTAAAGTCTCAGGTAATAGGTACTGTAACATCCAGAAAACTTCAATATGCAACTTTCTTTTAATAAGTGATTTTTTCAATATGAATTAGGTGGGGCAATGATTCATTACAAACTTTTACGCAATCTGAAACTTCACTAGGAGTAATATCCTGGCTTAAAGTATTATACTCAAGAGTTTTTTGGGGTTTTTTATGCACATAATGTAGAAACCTAATCTGGGAAGTATTATAGCATTCATTAATAAGGTTTTCAGTTAACCTTGCATATATTTGCACAGAATAGGTTTTTGAAGAATTGAGACCCAGGAAAAGGTTAAAAGGAAGAGAAGGTCAGAACTACAAGACATAGGGGGAGTTGATGCAGGCCAGAACATCTGGCCAGCAGATGAGCAGCAAAAGGGCACTGGTACAGGCCAGGACAAAGACAAACTTCTACTTCTCACTTCTGCAATTGCCAGCCTTGATGTGGTCACTTGGGTGCCTTTAGATGGGAACAAGGGAGTGGGAATGGTGGGGGCACTGGGAATCAAAGCATTTCAGTCAGATGGACAGGGGCACGGACAGGAGAATCCAGTACTCTTTGGTTCAATTAGTATAACTACATTTCAGTGGCTTACTTAAAATAGGTTTGGGGATCTTGATGTATGTTGATAGATTTTTTTTTTGATAGAAAAAATTTTCAGTTAAAAACAGAAGCATTGTTGCTATGAGATACTCAATGTTATTTAAATATTTCTCTAATATCTATAGGTATTATGGCCGAAAGATGCTTTTTCTCATGATGTGTCATCCTAACTTTGATAAAATGATAGAAAAGTATGTTCCCTCTAAAGATTTACCTTATATTAAGGAATCTGTTAAAAACTTACGGCAAAAGGTATGTGGAATAAGATTGATTTATAAACAACTTTAAATATGAACCATATTTGCCCTGGAAGATAAAGAATAGACATAATTATCTCATTATGACTCTGTCAACATTCAGAATTTATATGCATAGCATTTTAACAACTGTAGTCCTGAGTAAACTGTAATGTCAGGCATGGGAAGTAAATAATTAGTGAACATGATATTTGCTAGAATGCTCATTCAGCACTTTGGAGTTATAGGCCTGCCCTTTGAGCCACAGTTCTGAGAGTTAGCAACTTTGTAATTAGGCACAGCTTTATGTCACTGCCTAGAACTTCTGCTTTTCAAAAAGAAGCATAATGTTCACCAGGTTTGGTGTCTGTTGTATTCTCCTTGTATGTTTTCCTAGACCTCCTACTGCAAAGCATTTCTAGAGAACTCCTTTAGGGCAAATGATTGAATGAAAACCTAAACTGCTATCTAAATTTTCACTCAAAACAATAATGTATTCGTTGATTTTTTTTTATTTAAAGCTTATTTAAGTAGTATAATTTCCTCTTAGTAGATCACGTGTTTTATTAATTTACTACTAATTTCAAGGTATTTGATATACCTATATCCTTTGAAGTATAAATATGCAGATTAAAATGCTTTGTATCATTAAAATCAATACTGGTATAATGAAAATTAAATTATCTACATTATTTTATCTTAGTTTTAAGACCTTTATCAGATTGCCATTCTCTATATATTTACTCATAGGGCTTGGGGGAGATGCCAGTAGATACTCCTTCAGCGAAAGGAAGACGTTCTCATACAAGCAGTGTGGGAAATGCCAGGTCATCATCTGTTTCTAGAGATGTTTTCAATCCAGCTGAAAGGTAAGAGCATTTGATAGTCCACATTGGTAGGGAACTCATTCCCTAGTGATAGTAGTCTCATTTGGATGTTTTCATGAACTATCCCAAGGGTATTTGTCAAAATTTAATGGCGTTTTAAAAGTTTGGTATGAATGTAGAAAGTCTAAGGTCTGACCCACCAAGCCTTGAGGACGATGATCCCAATTAGAGCAGACAGTCCACAGAGAGGACCACATGACCAGCCCCACTATGAGACATGACGCCCCTCACTGACCCATAGCCCTACAGGGGACAACACAAAGGAGACACAGTGTGGGAATTGTGCCCGATCTGATCCCTCCACACCGAGGCAAAACACTAAGGGGGTGCAAAAGAACAGCAAGGGAATGAAGCAGTGAGGTCCTCAGGGCATGCTGAAGATGGACTTTGGGGCCAGGGCGTGGTGCCCCAACAGACTGAACTGGAAAACACTCCTAAAGGCCAGCGATCCTTGAACTAAAAAAAAAAAAAAGTCTAAGGTAATTACCTTTCATAAGGCAATTATATTTTACCACAACTTACTTTTACATGCACTAACCATACTTATGTCCATTAGTAAATCTTTAGTGTTTTTTAACTTGTCAATACTAGACTTATGTTGGACAAACTTGGTTTTTTTAAATAAGTTTATTTTTACTGGTTATAAAAGTAATATATGTTATGGGGTTTTTTTAAGAGCCTAACTTTATTGCTAACCAAGACTTATCCAATATATTATGTTTTTTAAAACAGCTTTGGAAATACAAACATTAAAAGAGTACTTAACTGAGTACTCATAATTTTGCCAACCAAAAAAAAAAATCTACTCTTAAAATTTTTTCAGTATAGTTTTATAATCTGTTTAAGCTACTTTATAATATTAAATTTATTGATTATATATATTTTTTAATTCTTTCCAAAGTACTACTGCAACCTCTTTGGTGTATTTTTTTTTTAATAATTTTATTGGGGGCTCGTACAATTCTTATCACAATCCATACATACATCCATTATATCAAGCACATTTGTACATTTGTTGCCCTCATCATTCTCAAAACATTTGCTGTCTACTGATGTATTTTTTTAATCGTCATATTTTTATTATTTTTTAATATACCTTATTGTAGGGTACCAACCCCCATAATCGAATGGGTCAAAGGGGCAGTTGTGTAATTGAAGGGTAAAATTAAAGAGACATCAGACAATATAAAACATGCAATTGCTCACCTCCTGGATGGCCATGATCTCAGCAGCCACGTCCAAGCAGAGAGAAAGAATATATTTCTAATCATGGCTTATATACATTTCGGGATGTGTAAGTTCCCCTAATTACAGGTAACCACATATGTAACAGGAAGGGGCATACACAAGAAGGGGATGAGCTAGGGGTGTACATGCAGTAGGAGGGGGAGGTACTCGGGGTATACATGTGACCAGATGGGTAGACTCTAAAGTCAAGATGGCAACCTAACTTGACTCTCCTTGAGTTGGATTGACCTTGTCTTTGGGCTCTCCTTAAGGGGGACAATCTACTCTCCTTATCAGCAGGGAGTGGGCCCCACTTAGGGTGGCACAGACAGTAGGGTCTGATGGCTCAAGATGGCTCATACTCTCAGGGAGGTAACCTCTAAGCAGCTGACCTCCAATTGTAAAGACACCAACCTTGTGTTAGCAAACAGCATCTTAGGTTTGGCATATAACATGGGGGGACATCCTGGGGAAAAACCTTTGTGTATCCCGCACCTTATATCTTGTGAAAACAGCCCTGATTGGTCAGTGGATAAGAGGTGGGATGCTAACAGAAATGCCAGAGGTTTATGATGTTGGAAAAGTTGACTACAATATGTCACGAAGTTTTTCTTTTGGAGTCTGCCCTAATTGGGATTTTCTTTGACTATTCTCTGTGGATTTCCTTGCTTCTTCGAAATCCTTGTAAGTTGTATGTTGTTCCTCTTGATTGGGTCCCACGTAATTCTTGGGCTTTATTTGGTCTCCTTTGAATTTTGTTATTGTTGCTTGTTTTTCTCATAGATTGGAATCAAAAGATGTTCCTTAGAGTTCACTAATTCTGGTTTCCATCTCTTCAAGTCTAACTATTCTTTTCTCTCTCTTTTTTATATTAATAATTTTATTGGGGGGCTTCTTACAAATCTTATAACAATTCATCATTCAGTTATATTAAGCACACTTGTGCATATGTTACCTTCGACATTTCCAAAACATTTCCTTTCTACTTGAGCCCTTGGTATCAGCATCTCTTTTTTCCTCTTCCTCCCCCACCCTCCCACCCTATCCTTGATCACTTATATATTGTTATTGGGTGTTTTTTAAATATACTTTGAACATCAGTTAAATACTAGATGAGTAGATAAATGGATATTTGTCATATTTTCTGAATTTATATTTCTTTGAAATATTTTATCAATTTAAATGATAAGTTTATGAAAAAATAAAAGTCTATATGAAAATATGATCTAGCATCCTATTAAAATCTAGTTAACAGAACAGCCACTTTAGATCTTATTTGAAATGTAGACTCTTGTCCTTCGTTCAGACCTATTGCGTCAGAAACTATCATTTTCCCACATAAGATATAATTACATAAAATCATGGATCAGATAAGTTGGTATAAAAAACTTCTTGGAACTTAACAACAATAACATAAACTTTTTTAGATGATTTATTGAGAGCATACTGTGTGCTAGACCTTTTCGGAGCCCTTTATTGACAAGTTCCTTATTTTGTAGACAGTCATTCAGTTTGGATTTGTCTGATATTTTCTTACACGTAATTTTTAAATTATGAGGATATTCATTTTTGGCAAGAATACCCCAAAAAATGATGTTGTGGCCTTCTCTGTACATCTCATCAGATTCATGATCTTTATGTCTTATTACTGATGATGTTAACCTTAATCACTTGGTTAGGTTAATTTCTGTCTTGTGTATTCACTATAAATATAGTGTGCTTTTTCATTGTAATTAATAAGTATTTGAGGATACATTGAGGTGATATAAATATCCTATTATCATACTTATGTCTACTAACTTTAATGACTTGACATGTATTGCACTAGTTATTGGATGTATTTTTGTATAATGATGATTTTATGTCATTCTCATTCCTTCTACATTTACTAGTTGAAATCTACTTTGAGAAAAAAAACCTGGTTGTTTGCCTCCATTTATTTATTCAAATATTTATTTATGCTTGTATGGACTAATATATAATGATAATGAATATATTATTCTATGGGTTTATGACTCAATACTATCATTATTTGCTTTGTATTTCAACCTGTTCCATCTGCTTTTGGTTACCTGTTGTACTTTCCAGCATGTTCATTCATCCTTTAGTGAATATTTTCTTACTTTCTTTCATCACAAGATTTTCCAAAATCATCTTGCATTTTATTTTCTCCATTCTAATCTTTGGTTTTTAATTTCTTCTTCTTGCTTGTTTTTGTACTAACTAGACTATTAAATATAATGTTAAATAAAAATAGTAAGACAGAGTCATTCTTACTTTATCAATAACTGTAGGTAAGTAGTCCAAAACGTAGGTTCAGTATTTCACCTTCAAATATGATGTTATTTGTAGATTTCTATTCAGTGCTTTAACGGGATGAGGAAGTCTTCTAACAATTGTTTGAGAGTTTTGTCCTGAATAGCTGTTGAATTTTATCAAATGCTTTTTCAGAATCGGTTACTATGATCATACATTCTTATTTTATTATTTTACTATGGTGAAATAACAGTGATTTTTGATATTATTTTTAAACCTTGTTTTTTGGGGGGGGTTAGCCCTGGTGGTATAGTGGTTACCTGTTCGGTTACAGTCCTCAAGGTCAGCAGTTTGAAACCACCCGCTGCTCCCTTGGAGAAAGGCAGGGCTTTCTACTCCTGTAAACAGTTACAGTCTAGGAACTCATCCAGGCAATTTTACCCTGTCATACAGTTTCGCCATGAGTCAGCCCTGGCTCAATGGCAATTGAGTGAATTGAGCCCCACTTGGTAGTAATATTATTTATAGGTAGATTTGATTTGAGTGGGGTTTTTTTTCTACATTCATGAGGGGTATTGGTCTGTAGTTTTCCTTGTTTTAATGATTTTTGGTTCAAATACTGGGATATTGCTGGGTAATGCTTTTGGAGTTTCTTTTTTAATTCATGAGTTATTTAAAGGAATGTTAATTTCTACATTTGAAGACTCTAAGTATTTTTTGTTTTGGTTTTTTAATTTAATTTTTCCTGTTAGTGCTTCAAAGGGTTTCAGTCTTCCTTCATTTATTGACACTTATTTTATGTTCTACCAAATATGGTCTATTTCAGTGTATGTTTTACATCTACTTGAAAGAATATGTATTCTGCACTGGTTAGATGTAATGTTCTTTAATGTCAATTAGATCAAGTTGGTTAATTTCTGTTATTCAACACATCTATATACTTGTGATTTTCTATTTGTACCAATTACTAAAACTGTTAGCATCTCTAACACTCTGTATTTATTTAAACAAAAATAAAAATGTGAAGCTATTGTTTCCCAACATATCCTCCATCTAGGCTGTACATTTCTAAAGGTGGTGTTTCCATCTCTAAACCTTCTCAAAATAGCCCTTTACCCTTTGACTTACACCATGTCAAAATAGCAGTTTTAAGGAGAATGGGGTTGTTGGGTTTTTTTTGGGGGGGGGCGGGGTTTAGGGGGAGCAGGTGGTTGTAAAAGGGAGATGATACCACGGAGTACAGGAAGAAGAAGTATGTTTGCACACTGATTATTGAAGCAGTTTTACAATTCTGCTTGATGTGATTGAATTATGTAATAATATATGTATTAACTCCAAATTAATAATATTAAATATATATACAGTTCCAGGAATGAGTTTTGGGCTCGCACTAAATCCTAGCTCCAACTTAAGAGCAATTACCGCCCCCCCCAAAAAAAAAATTACATCATAACCCTACTGGATACTTACCTCAGGAAGGGAACACAGAAGGTCCAGGTGGTATAGCAAAATGTGGCAAAGAAATTAGATGGTGCCTGATTATCAGATAAAATAGCATCTGTGATCTTAAAGGCTTGTCTTTAAATTAGCAGCCATCTAAATGAGATGTTAGCTGAAATCACATGGGAGAATGACACCATCATCAGTCACTGAAGTATTGCAATCCATATAATCTGAAGTGGAAGGAGGAGTTAGTATCAGCCTGAATTGTGAGAATCCTGTGTTCAGTAGGCAATGGATGACAGTGGGAGGCCAGGATTCATTTGTGGGAACTACATAGGTAATAGACTATGCTGAACTCCCTCCACTCACAGTTGAGGGATAAAAGGGTAGTGCTTACTGAACAGAGTGCATTGGAGAGATGAGTGTAGAAAATCAATGGCATAAATCTGACTTGGACAGTTAAACCTTGTCAGTTGATCCCCGCCTCTGATACTTGCTGGTCCTGATTTGGTTTTCAACATTTTCTTTTTAACCCTAACCCTAACCCAACTCTGTGTCCTTTCAATGTCATTTGTCTTAGTCTTGGCTATGATGTGCTGAGTCTTGTGAGTCCTCCTAGTGAATCACCAAAAGGGTTTCTCAGACCGCTGACCCAAATAGTACAGTTTTAGGTTACTAACATGTATTTATAAAGAGCATAGATTCTAACCTTTGAAAGAATTGTGGAAATAGATATTATAAATCAAACAGAAGTGTTTTGTGAATTGCAAAAAAGTGAATGTTCAGCAGAAATTATTTCAGATTGTATTTTTAAGATAACAATGAAATTAAATATACTTTTCTTTCACTTAGAGAGGTAACTGAAGTTCGTGAAGTCACCAAAAAGTCAATTCCTCGTAATTCTATAGAAAGTACTGAGTACATTAAAGTCATAACAGGGTTATTAAATGCAAAAGACTTCCGTGATCGTATTAGTGGGATTAAGCAGCTTCTATCAGATACTGAAAGCAATCAGGAACTTGTTGTTGGAAACATTGTGAAGGTAAGAGCCTTTCAAAATGAATTTTCACTTAAAATCTGTGGCTAATGTAGTTTATCAGTATTTAAAAAGCACTACTTTGTATAAATGAGTTTATGTTATTTCAAGTTGTTAAAAGAAACATAGTAGAAAAAAATTTGGGTTTTGCTTTGTTAAAGCATGATTGGACAAATCAAGTAATTGAAAGAGTTAAAAAATAAAATAGCTGAGTAAGTACCATGAGAGCTTTTCAGTCTCAGAGTTCTCAGAGCCTTGCATTTGATAAATAAATGTTGAGTGAAACAAAATGTATTATAAAAACAAGCACATTTTAGAAACCTGATTTTTCTTTAGATTAGATAATAGAACTTGTCATGTGTGGGTTAGAAACTTGTATAAACCAGCTTTTATTTTTAAGAAGACAACCAGAGTGGCAGATGTTAGTAAAAGCTGGTGGTGCCAGAGTATGGGGTATTTGTTTCAACTGAATTTATTTCAGTTAGTTCTTGTAGTACTTTATTAGTCAATTTTTTATTTAGATTTATTTTTAAAATTTATTTTATATACACTAAACCTAGCAGACATACTATACCAAACTAAACATAAATGTGCTACTATTGCATTTATTCCAATTTACAGCAACCCTAGAGACTAAATTAGAGCTGGCCTTTAGGGTTTCGTAGGATATAATCTCATGGAATCTGACTGCCACCTCTGTCTCCCGTAGAGCAGCTGATGAGTTTAAACCTGCGACCTTTAATGAGCACTCCCGGGTCTGCTAGCAAACATGCCATCAAAACTCACTGCCACTGCCTTTGAGTCAATTCTGACTCATGGTGACCTGCTAGCTACTCTTAATTCTAGTGATGGTGTCTTATAATATTAAAAATAGAAGTACCATATTCTTTGTCTTAGAAGTCAGAAAGTAGCATTTTCTAATGTACTTTTGTCTAAAAATGAACCTCATGAAAAAACTATTTTTAATGTGAAAAATAATTGATAGACAAATAAACATCAGAAGATATTACTTAATATTTTCAGCCTCATAGAGTATCTCTGCTCACTTGACACAATTACAAATCATTGTATAATAAGTTACAAATGTCTAACTTATGGCTAACTCATACTTGGTGTGTTATATAAACTTACCCTCACTTTGAAACAGTTGAGCCAACTCCTAAAACCAAACTCAGCCCTACTGCCAATGAGTCAGTTCCAGTTCATAGCAGGCTGCCACTTCTGCTGGTGGGTTTGGGTTTCATTCTCTGACCTTTTAATATCCAACCAAGTGCTTTAACCACTGTTCTACTAGGACTCCTTAAACAAACCCTTACTTGCAACATATTCTCCATCACCGTCTCCTCCACTTGCAGCATGTGCAGCTTTCAATCACTGAAAAGGCTCTAGGCCTTGTCTTGCACTAGATTATGGCTAAAGAAGAACTATATTCACCTATTATGGATTCCCTACAAATTCAATTTAAAGACACACTTAGGAATGGATTTCATCTTTAACCTTGCCAATTGCCTACCTGTATGTTGAATTTATGAAAGTTAAGGATTCTAAAGAAGGGTTAGTTATTAAAGTAATCACACAGGTTAAGAGACAATAATAAAATTTAACTCTGTTTCAATATTCAATTGTTAATGTGTTATATTAAATTAATTAACATATGCGTGTATGTCTAGGTGTGTCTTTTAATAGTAGATTAAAGGTGATACTATGAAATGCAAAAGTAGACTTTAAATATTTTAATATAACTGTAAAATTACTTAAATTTAAGTAATTTACCATTTTGCTTTCAGATATTTGATGCTTTTAAATCTCGGCTTCATGATTCCAATAGTAAAGTAAATCTGGTGGCTCTCGAGACCATGCACAAAATGATTCCTTTGCTTAGAGATAATTTGTCTCCAATAATCAACATGCTAATTCCTGCAATAGTAGATAACAACCTGAATTCAAAGAACCCAGGGATCTATGCTGCTGCCACAAATGTTGTTCAGGCACTAAGTCAGCATGTAGGTAAGAGATCTTACTGCTCTAAAGGTAAAATATCAAAATAAAGAGAAAAGTTACAATCACAAATTGTTCTGTAATTCTAAGATTACTTTTGTTTGCATTTTTTCCTGATCGTACATATGTATGATAATGCTGAGATCTTCTTTTATCCATAATTATTGCCATGGAATTATTTTTCCATTTCTCAATAGCATTTTCACTTATTTTTAATACTTAAATATCACCTCATTAAATTGACTTTCCCTTCCCCTTGCCTTGGCCTTTTAAATTTTTTTCTCTACCATAATTTATACAAATTTAACAAAAATGAATCATAGATTTTAAAATAAAACTTTACACTAATCTTTATAGAAAAGAGGGTGGATGAAAATTTTTAGAACCTCGGGATTTAGTAAAGAGTTGTTAGACATGACACCAAAGGTACAGTCTTAATAGAAAACTATGTAAATTGAGCTTCATCAACATTAAAAATATTTGCTCTTTAAAAGACTATTAGGAGGATAAAAAGACAAGTTACAGAAACTAACTAGATGACAGGTCCTGGCCACTCAGGGAAATGGAGGGGGGTGGTGCTGGTGGAGGAGATGACCGGGTGCAGAACAAGCAGAGTGCGGTGGGGAGAGTCAAGAATATTATGACCCAGAATGTGGAGCGGATCCTGGCCCAAGGAGAAAACTCAGACCACCTTCGCAACAAAACAGAGGATCTGGAAGAAATACCCGAGCACTGGAAGACGACACAGCAGAAAGTGACTCGCTAGTTCTGGTGGAAGAACGTGAAGATGATTGTCATCATCTCTGTGGTTGTCTTCATCCTCATCCTCTTCATTGTGCTCTTTGCTACTAGAGCCCTCATTACTTAGGGAGTCCCCCACCCCAACCCCACCTGCCTCTCCCCGGGCAACCCTCCCTAGTGGGTGCCAAGAGCGGCCCCATCTCCCACCCACCTCCACATGTTTTGCTGCTTGGTCTTGTCCTCTGACTCCTCCCCTGAGGACCCTCTGCACATTGCCTCCCTCAGGGAGAACCTTGGTCCCCCAAAGGAGAGAGAGTTGGACAAAGGCTGCTTCTCATGGGTCTTCAGCATGGGTTGGTGAGACACAGAGGGCTCGGCGTATTGCTGGGAAACTGATGGCACTAAAGTGTGGATAAGGAAGACCTTTCAATTAAAAAAAAAAAAAAGCAAGCTACAAATTGGGAAGGAATATTTACAAAACATATCTGTCAAAGGATCATATCCAGAATATATAAAGAGCTCAAAACTCAACACTGAAAGATCAAAAAGTACAAGTTTAGAAAAAGTCAAAAGGCAAGGACGCATTTTACTCAAGAGACTATACAAATGGCAGACAAGCATATAAAAAAAGTCCATCACTAGTCATTAGGTCAATGCAAATTAAAAACATGCTCACTACCTACCTAGTAGAGCTAAAATGAAAAATAATGACAATTCCAAATTCTGAAAAGGACACAAACACTGGAGCTCTTATACATTGTGGTTGTGTATGAAATAATACAATCTGGAAAATAGTTTGATAATTCCTTTTTTAAAAACTAAATGACAAAAAAAACAAAACAAACTAAATGACACAAACTATGCAATCCATGAACTGTACTCCTGGTCATTTATTCCATAAAAGTAGAGACTTAAATCTACACTTTTTAAAAATCATTTTATTGGGGCTCGTACAAGTCTTACCACAATCCATACCTCCATCCATTGTGTCAAGCACATTTGTACATTTGTTGCCACCATCATTCTCAAAACATTTGCTTTCTGTTTGAGCCCTTAGTATCAACTCCTCAGTTTTTCCACTCCCTCCCCGCCACCCCACTCACAAACCCTTGATAATTTATAAATTATTTTTTCCATGTCTTACACTGTCCAGTGTCTCCCTTCACCCACTTTTCTGTTGTCCGTTTACCAGGGAGAGGGTTATATGTAGATCCTTGTGATCGGTTTCTCCTTTCTCCCCCATCTTCCCCTTACCCTACTGGTATCACTGCTCTCATTATTGGACCTGAGGAGTTTATCTGTGCTTGATTCCCTGTGTTTCCAGCTCTTATCTGTACCAATATACATGCTCTGGTCTAGCCGGATTTGTAAAGTAGAAGTGGGATCATGATAGTAGGGGGGTGGAGAGAGGAAGCATTTAAGAATTAGAGAAAAGTTGTTTGTTTCATCATTGCTACACTACACCCTGACTGGCTCGTCTCCTCGCTGCAACTCTTCTGTAAGGGAATGTCTAGTTGCCTACAGATGGGCAAATCTACACATTTTTCATTGCAGCTTTTGAACATAGCTAAAACCTGGTAATAACCCAGATAGATTCAGCAATTAGGTGGCTAAACAAACTGTAGTACATCCTTTTGATGGAAAATACCCATGAGATGGACAATTCTTTTTCTGTCTTTTTTATACTATAACTCCTTTAATATTTCATACCCCATAAGGTATTTTTCTCATTTCCTGTAAGAATATTTGTTTTATTAATAGAGAATTTTAAATAGTAACTTGATATAAATGTTTTCAGTTTTTAACACATTTGTATTGCAAAAATGAAAGGTTTTCATTTTAATGCTCCTAACTGTTTAAATATACCTTTGTTTTGTCTTTTTTGTTTAGACAATTATTTGCTTCTGCAGCCATTTTGTACAAAAGCTCAGTTTTTAAATGGAAAAGCAAAACAGGATATGACTGAAAAGCTTGCTGGTAAATATTTTTTTATTATATATATATTTAACTATAAAAGTTATTAGAAATTATAAATTGATAACTATCTTTGGATAGCTTCTAATTAAGGTAGATATAAACTTATGAACTGGATATAAACATCTATAGTTAAAGTAGATATAAATATGTATATAATGATTCAAAGAGAACTTTATGAGACTCTTCCTCAGCAGTTTTCTTCAAAAAAATTAGTTGTTTTTTTGTTTTGTTTCTTCCCCAAGGAAGTATTCTGTCTTCCTATTAGTAGAAATAATACAGAAAAAAATACAAAGGTATTAAAAGCAAATATTGGTAATCACAGAAAACTTCTGCTTCAAAATACATGTTTTGTATAAAGTCTGTGTGTTTAAAATATAGAAATTTTCATTTAACTCCATTTAGAAAACACCAAGATGAATTTTATGTTTGATTTCTCTCTTTACCACTTTTCCCTCAACTCATCATTACATAGGCAAATCTCATTCCAGAAGATTTTAATCCTGGAAGAAAGGTTTCTGACTTCTTATTTCTATACGTTAAGATGCCTAACATTGTAAGGCGTAGAGAAAAGGGTTCATAATTTTTTTTTTAACGAGTTGGTTCCGATTCATCGCAAACTCATAGGACAGAGGAGAACTGCTGTGTAGGGTTTCTTAAACTGTAGTCTTTACAGGAGCAGATCACCACGTTGTTTGTCCCAAGATGCTGCCGATAGTTTGAATCACTACCATTCACTAGCCATAGTGCCACCAAGGCAGCCTAGATTTTAGGTGCTTTTTAATGATCAGAATTTTAGTTTATTTCTTTAAAAGCATACTGACTGTTTAACCATGATTTTGTATTTCAGATATTGTTATGGAACTCTATCAAAGGAAGCCCCATGCCACGGAACAAAAAGTGTTGGTGGTTTTGTGGCACCTCTTAGGGAACATGACAAACAGTGGCTCTCTGCCTGGAGCTGGAGGAAATATACGAACAGCCACTGCTAAATTATCAAAAGCACTTTTTGCACAGATGGGTCAGAATTTATTGAATCAGGCCGCATCTCAGCCACCACATATCAAAAAGAGTTTAGAAGAATTGCTCGATATGACAATTTAAAAGGAATTATGAATCTTAGCTCTGAAATATGGTATGATGAACAAAACTGTTTACATGACAAATGGAGCTTTGTTAAAGTTACATTTTCAGTGCCTGTACTTCTCATCCAGTAAATTAAGTAAATGGCTATTTTTATTTTTTAGCCTGTAAGTCCACATTTGTCCAATATCAGCCCTACCACTTGTATAAAAGTACAAATACAAATTATAATTATTATAACCTAATATTCATAAAATGTTAGGTCATGTGGAATTAATGCAATTTTAATATTTTGGAGAAAAGTCCTGCCCATTTGCACTATTCTATAGAATCTGCAAATTATCACCCTATATGTACAATTAGATTTGTAATTAAAAAATATACTTTTTATTATGTAATCATGTTCTGCTATGTCTCATTACTCAGCATTATTTTAAGAGGTGGAAGAAAGGTCATTGAACTATGTTATCACAAACATTTAAGCTTTGTGTGCTATTTTTGGAAAACATGTATTCCTGAAATCAGTTTGCTAATATGATTGTGCAGTATTAGCTTGCTTTTGCTGCTGTGTTGATGTGATATATTTGCTTATCTTTTGGGCTTAATCATCTATTTAATTATGAAATTTAGCAAGTTAATAATAAAGCATGATGACCAAAGTTTTAGGAAACTTAAAACATTTTAAATGCACGTTTTAAAAAACGTGTTGAATGTAACGTCCTTATTTTTGTGTGGAAAGACTAAATTTTATTTATATATGTCACAACATTTTAAAAGGTGTTATTTTGCTGCCCATTTGTGTAATTCTCAAAAATAGTGCCAGGTGTCCTATAGCTTTCCTCAGAATTCTTGAGCTATACGTACTGTATGCATCTTTAAAAAAAGAAAAGGAATGTTATAAAATAAAAAGAATTTATTTCTGTAGATGTGTGAGAGGTGTTCTATTCTTGCAATTCTCATATATGTTAAAATGGTGAAAATATAGCGATAGCATGCTATTTTCATACTAACAAAAGACCTGCGTTGTTGTGTCAGCTTTACAATAAACTTGTGTAACCTTGGGCAAGTCGTTTACTCCATCAGTTTTCTCATCTTTCATATGTGAGTGCTGAATTAGGTGGCTCTTGAGGTCCTGTCCTGCTCTAAGATTCTGTCAATTGTAAATTTCAATTAATTCAATGATCAGTTTATTACAAATTTAAACTACATTTATTTTTCCCTTATTTCTAATCTATTTAACTGATTTTTAAATTGTGATTCATTGTATTAATTCCTTGTATAACTCAGAAAAATACAAAAGCCAGGTTTTGCTTATATTTGCCATTACTTTAAGCTAACTTGAAAGGGGTTAGGTAAAGAGCTGGTTACTTTTTCTATTTATATGAACTATTTTATAATTACATATACTGTTTTAAAATATCTTCCGTGTGTATTTTGTTATATTCCTATGGTTAGACTAGCAGTTGGCAGTCTTTTCTGTAAAGGGCCAAAAAGTAAATATTTTAGGTCTCAGATTGTCACATATTGGTTTTTTAATGAAATTTTTATACGTATTTCTTATACATATGATGGTAAAATTTTAAAGTATTGCTACTGTCGTTCCAGTTCACAAGTGCATAGGTTTATTGAGTTTAAACTTACCTCTATAACCTGTGGGTGGCTGAAGGCAAGGTCTCTCAATAACATACTTCTCTTTCAGTCTCATTAGGGAGTCTTTATTTAAAAAAAAAAAGTTTCAAAATACTGGTTTCCAAGGGGATTTATTGGGCCAGCTAATTTTAATACAGGTCAGCTCAGAAGGTTATGGTGAATGTTTTTTGGGACTTCAAAGGAGTGATCTTGATAGATTTTTCTTGAAGGACACTACTTATTTTGCAGAAGTAATAACAAAACTGAAAATTCCATTGGTGAGAAAAAGGCCAGGAAATTGCACCCAGAAATTTTCTTCCCTCCTGAAAATGCACCTGTTCATTTTTCTAGAGTAGTAAAGACTATCCTGTGAGAATTTGGCGGGGGTGTGGCTGGGGGGGTGGGGGGGGCACCAACCTTACACTATATGTATAGCCGGTTCTGAGATTTCTTTTTATTCACAAAACTTCAACATAATTTCAAAGAATTAGTCTAGCAAAGATGTGCAACTTTGACATGGCGTCAGTTGCACAGCATAGTCCTCTGTGGGGAAGATGAACAGAGCGATGACGACACCTCCACAAGTGTGTGGATGGAGAATACTGTGCAGAAGTAATAGCTTCACACATGTTGATGTTTTTAATAAGGTTGTATGGCTTTTTTAGCTATATATACATTTTTAATCATTTTATTGGGGGCTTATACAGCTCTTATCACAATCCATCCGTTGTGTCAATCACATTTGTACATTTATTGCCCTCATCATTCTCAAAACATTTGGTTTCTGCTTGAGCCCTTGGTATCAGCTCTTCATTTTTCCCCTCCTTCCCCACCTCACCTTCCTCATGAACCCTTGATAATTTATAAATTATTATTATTTTGTCATGTCTTACACTGTCCGACGTCTCCCTTCACCCACTTTTCTGTTGTCTGTCCCCCAGAGAAGGGATTATATGTAGATCCTTATCGCCTCTCTCACCACTGATCCTAAAGGGATCATCCGTCCTGGATTCCCTGTGTTTCCAGTTCCTATCTGTACCAGTGTACATCCTCTGGTCCAGCCAGATTTGTAAGGTAGAATTGGGATCATGATAGTGGGGGGAGTGGGGGCAGGGAGGAAGCATTTAGGAACTAGAGGAAAGTTGTATGTTTCATCGGTGCTACACTGCGCCCTGACTGGCTCGTCTCCTCCCCGCGACACTTCAGTAAGGGGGTGTCCAGTTGCCTACAGATGGGCTTTGGGTTCGCACTCCCCCTCATTCACAATAAGATTTTTTTGTTCTTTGATGCCTGATGCCTGATCTCTTCAACACCTTGTGATCACACAGGCTGGTGTGCTTCTTCCATAGGGGCTTTGTTGCTTCTGAGATAGATGGCCGTTTGTTTACTAGCAATACATTTTTTAACTTATCTCTGTGTGTCTGTGTGTGTGTGTGTGAGAGAGAGAGAGAGAGAATCATTTTTTTGTTTTTAACTTTTAAAAACATATAATACATTATTTCAGGCCACAAAAAACAAGTCTCTCCCACAGTTTGCCAATCTGTAGTTTAGATTCCTTTTTTTTTTTTTTTAATCTCAGTTGTAACTCTGAAGTTTTTTTTTATCGTTTTATTAGGGGCTCATACAACTCTTATCACAATCCATACATACATCAATTGTGTAAAGCACATGTGTACATTCATTGCCCTGATCATTCTCAAAACATTTGCTCTCCACTTAAGCCCCTGCCCCCCCCTCCCTCATGAACCCTTGATAATTTATAAATTATTATTTTGTCATATCTTGCCCTGTC